GCAGCCGCTGAGCAGCTGCCAACAGGTGGCAGGATGGCTCAGCTAAAAAAAAAAAGAAATGATCATAAGGCCTTGTTTGCCCTTTACCTGTGAAATCTCCTTTGATCCTCACAGCAGCCCTCTGAGGTGGATACTCTTATCAGCTACCACTTTACAGCTAAGGAAACTGAGGCTCAGAGAGACATGATTAGCCGAAGTCGCTCCTTCTATTCCTCTGTCGACTTCTAAGTCAGACCTCAACAAAGAATGGACAAGGGTTTCATTCCATAGACAAGTGATCATTGGGTAGAGCCTGCATGTGTTTAGAGAGAGTCTCAAGTTGCATCCAGGCTCAGTAGGAAACAGTGCTGCAACCGAGTACTGATGTCTGCTCTGGGCACAGAGTACTAAATGATGGTGTGTGTCCCATCATTTGCCCTTCTTGCCCTTGAGTCCTTCCTTCTGTTGGTAACTTAAGTCTCTGCAGAGGTAACTGTTATAATAATGAGCAGAGCAGAATACAGTAGCATCTGGTCCAAACCCCAAATTCACTTCCAAAGTCCCTATTTGTCTCCATTTTCCCTGCTCTAAAGACTTGGGTAATACTACGCTTTGTAGGGACAGGGTGATCAAAAGGACAAGACTTTAAGGTGTCTTGGGCATATCCTCAGTGCCTGGCACCAAGCTAGAGTTTCCTTATAGCACATCAAATCTGAGCATCAAACTAAAAGGTTGGTATGACTATTTCTGTTTTATAGATGAGCAAATTGAGATTTCTAGACGTTAAGTAGCTTGCTTCGGATCACACAGTTGGTAAGGGTCAGTGCCAGGTTGTACTTGAATCCAAGCGCTGTCTACCACATCACATTGACTTGGAGAGAAACCTATGCCTACCCAGAGGCTCTGCCAGTCTGCGATTCCTGCCAGCCTGTGGGCAGCCTGGGAGCTTAGCAGAGACATGCCCCACCTGACTTCTCTGTGGGTCAGTGGATGCTGCCTTCAGCCCTCTTTCCTGCTTTGGCTACAGGCTCAGTCTCCTGCCCCTGATGTCCACCCCCCCGCCCTGCCCCCAGGCTGAGGGTGTCAGGCCACCCCCACCTCACAGGGAGCTGCCATCTGCTGGTGGTAAAGAAGAGCTTGTAAAGCATCTGTTCTTGGAGCCTGGGTCCTGGGGGAATCCTGGGCCACCCTGCCCAGCTGGGGCCAGATGGAGAAGGCGCCCACGCCTCCAGCCTTCCTGGGAGCCAGACTGGTCCTCCTCCTCCTCACTCAGTGCTGAAGGCTGGGAAATGGCACGCAGGCCTGGTACTTGCAGGCGGAAGACCCGACTTCCCTCTCGTAGCTACGTGGACAGAATCCCTCCGGGGTTCCCTGGGTGAGGAGTCCCCGCCTTCCCCTTTCCTGTTCTTGCCTCCGCTCTCTGCCTTAGTCTTCTCACCTGCTGAATTGGTGGGGAGGGGTGATGAGGTCTGCTGGGGCTGTAAATGCCCGGAAGATAAGATGGGGGGTCCGGCTGGAATGCTGGGGTGTGGGCAGTGCCAGGAAGGAGTTGGCCCAGCCTGGTCTGATTAATGCCTGCCTGACTCCCAAGAGGCCAGTGGACGGTCCCGCTTTACCCAGTGTCTGAGCTGTGGAAGCTGGGCAGACCTGTGCCCGCTGCCCTGTTCCCCCGGCACCGGTCGACCTTCCCTTCTCTCTCCTGGACCTCCTGAGCTCTGACTCTAATCTTCCTTAGGAAACTTTGGGGCTTGTTTTTCCTTCTGGAGACTTTTCCTTTTGCCCTTTGCAATCAGCATGGGGTAGGGGTGTGGAAACCCAAACAAAAACAAGCTACGGCTCCTATTCTTTGGTGGGAAACCTTGGTATCTTCACATGTACCAAGCAAGATCATTTTATGAGCTAAGAAAGTTACAGCAATTCCCTGTTAAGTATCTAAATTCATAGAGCAGGTCTAGATCCAGAAAAGAGATGTTTAAAGAGAGGGCCCTCCGGGGACTCGGTTTCATTCTTCAGCGTTCCTGTGTTAGGTGTTTTCAGGGTATCTGGACCTCTTATTTTCTGTGTCCCTTCTGGAAAGTTTGCGAGGGTTTCTGGTCTGCAAGCCCAGGAAGCTGCCCGAAGGATATCTGCTTTGTCTTGATTTGTTCACTTATCTGGTTATTCGATAAACGTTTACTGAGGCAGCGATTTTCAGGTTGGGTTTGAACAGAGGGCCTGGATGGGAGTGAAGTTAGAATGGCAATCCGTTGACCCAGTTCGGAAACCCCCCAGCTCTCCTTGGGCAGCTGGCAGTGCTGGGTGTGAGGGAGGGGAAAAGGGTCACTCCCAGGTTTCTGGCCCGAGGGGCTGAGTCGATGGTGGTGTCCTAATCCAATACAGCAAAATCAAGAAAAGCTGGCTTGGATGGGAAGACAAAGAGTTCTGTTGGGGACAGGCTGAACTTGAGGTGTGAGGGTGGGCAATGCCCAGGGGAGACAGGCAGCAGGGAGCAGAGGAAGGAACCAGAGGCTCAGGCAGAAACTGGGGTGGGAGAGGGTCGTGGAAGTTGCCAGCCTAAAGGCTGCGTTTGAAAGCAGTGAGGATGAGACGGTCTGGTGTGTTTGGAGCGAGAAGGCCAGGGGCCGGGTTGGAGCCCTGGGGGCAGGTGCAGAAAGACCCGCCCTCCCCTACTGCCAAAGGAACAGGAATGGATGGTCAGAGCCCAGATGGCCAGAGGGGCTGCCGGAGAACGCGGAGGGCTCAGTCAGGGAACCCGAAGGAGTCATCAAGAAAGTTGAAGTGACCGACAGGGTAGCAGAGGTAGCTGAGAACTGGAAACTCTGGGATGAATTTAGCGACACGGAAGTCGATGAGGTGTTGGGGTGGGGGTGCAGAAGGCCGACTGGGGTATTAGAGGGGATGGACAGTGAGGACTTAGGTTCAAAGAAATAGGAAGGAAGTGAGAAGAATCGGGCAGAAAAGGAGAGATGGAAGGAGTGGGCCAGAAAGCCCCACAGCACCCGGCCCGCTATTGCCTGGGACCTTCTCCAAATGAAATTGGAGAGACCCCAGGCTGTAGGCAGATATAGTCAGAGCTGCTCTGGCTGAAGCAGTGGGGGCTGGGGGACCCAGGGTCCTGCCCGCCTGGGTTCCTGTTGCCCTCCAAGGAGTGTCAAAGCAACCCTGAGCTCCTGGAACCCATTGGCCTCAGACTACCCTTTGTTTTAGAGATGCGGACTGGCTGGCCAAAGTCATGGAGTGAATCTAGTGGCAGAGTCAGGAGCTCTAGCTCCCTTACCCCGTACCCCACTGCCTCCAGCTCCTCATGCAGTGTTTGACTAGGCATTTATTCAACAAACATTTATAGAGTGCCTACTGCATGCCAGGCACCTGGCCTGGGGATGGGAGGATTCAGAGACAGGCAGGAACCGCTTCTGAACAGCCTGGCATATTGATGGCCACACCCTGGAGACCTCAGGAGGTGGACATGCAGAGGACTGTCCTGCGGTGATGGCCTCTCCTAGTACAGACAGGCAGGGCTCTGAAGGGCCTGGCTTGCCCCCAGAAGTTTCTCCACACTCAAAAGCCTCAGCCTTCTCCACTCCCAGCTGCTCGTGGGGGCGAGGACATGACCACCCCAGCCCTCTGGGGAGCAGATGTCCCTGGGCTCTGAAATGCTCCTGAAGAGCAGCCTTCATACCTGGCCTGGGTCCTGGGCTTTGGTTTCCTGAGAATGCCATGACAGCCAGTGATGACAGTAACAACAAGCTGAGCGTGTACTATCAGTAACGATCTTGTGATTGCTTGACCTGTGCCCTCCTTGGGGATCCTTGGTAGCCAGAAGCCAGGCTGGGCTCCCCCACCTCTCCCAACACCACTCTTTGCACAATGAACCCACTGCCACCTTATTCCCCCAGGCATGTCTGGTGTTGATCCCACCCAGACAGGATATGCCAGCTCCCCCAACCCACTCCTGCAGCAGCCCCTTGATGTTCAAAGATGTAACAATTAGGGTTTTGACTTTTTGCAAGAGAGGCCCCCAACCCCAAGATGCGTGATATGTAACCAATGGTACAAATTTGAGCGGACTTTGGTGACTGGGGGAGAGGCATTAGCCAGAATGAGCACGGGAGAGGGGAGATGACAAGTAGATAAATGGGGTCCCTGATTTTATACAGACTCACAGTCCCAACCCATCAAGGAGCAGGGATGGGGATGTTATGTGTGTCCTCTCAAATTGTAGCAAGTGATGGCGGTTTGTGGGGGCTCAGGGGATATCACAGGAGAAAGCAGGTGGCTGCCATGGGGAGAGGTGAAGGGGAGCCTAGGCTAAGGGTGGCTGCATGAGTCGGCTGGTAGAGACTAGGGGAGTAAGATAAAGGAGGCAGCAGCCTTGAGCCCCAGGGTACACCTGATTAAGTCCACTGCTGGACTCGTGGGCACCAGGGAGCCATGAGAAGACTATTATGTGCAAAATCATCTAATGGCTTCATTAGATGAAATTAATTAGGAAACGAGGGGCTTCCTAGTGGGGATGCTGCAGGAAGGGTTTCCTTAGGACAGCGAAGGACAAGGAGTCTGTTCTGTGCAGTCCCCATCCCATGAGACATTCCTTGAGGTCGATTAACTTTGGGAAGACCACTGGGCTTTCCCTCTCCTGTGGAAGCCTCACAATACACATCACATTAAAGGCTCTGAAACGTCTTGCAGTAGCAAAACCTACTTAACCTGTCTCACCCAGCATTTCCCACACTCATTTGGCAGTGGAATCTTTTAAGTAAACACATTAATATCCTTCAGAGGAACCCCGGTCCACACGTTGGGAAGTGCTGATACAGAGGGACTGACAAAAGTGAGCTGTCTCTTGCAGAAGTCAGGGGTCTTATGTGTTGCTCTCCCCCCACCCATCGTACCACGTCGGCCCCTGAGCAGACCCCTGGAGCTCTCTGGCCAAACATCCTAGAGACATTTTCTGCAACCCTGACTCCAAACTTTGCCCTCGCTGGGCCCAGAGCCATAGAAGGATGCGGGAAGAGACTTACAGGGGCAGGGGCGTTTGAAGGACATGTAATCCTTGGAGCAGAATAGTGGAGCCAGCCTGCCCACTTGCACAGCTCTGACTTCTCACAAGGAAGGACCCTCCGCTCACCTGCAGAAACACAAACAGGCCGGTGATGGGGGTGCCCACACAGTACCCACAGACCCTGCAGGCTGGGCACCCGTGTTCCCTGGGCTGTCAACCTCTGGGGAGAGGATGGTCACTTTGAGATGTGCCCACTCTGGGTGGGGGCGGGGAGAGCTCTGGCTGTAGAGTATGGGGGTGCTGGAGCAGGGATAGGGCAATTTTGTGCTGGGGTCCCCATGGTGGGTGGAATGTCTCTCCTGGGGGGACCCTTGAGGGAGAATGAGAGATGCCACAGAGTTCTCCTGTCTCATGAACCTGTGAGATCCCACTGCCTCTGATAACTGCAATGGGCTATGGCATCCCAAGCATCTTATAACTATTGGGACTAGAAGGACCCTTAAAGATCTGTCCACTGTCCTCACTTCACAGAAGGGGAAACTGAGACCTGGAGCAGGTGAGGGGCCAGTTCAGGGATGCACAGCTGGCTTTGGAAGGGTGTTCACAGATGTCTAGCTCAAACCATATTCTTATTACTATTGTCCCAACCACTTTAAGAGGATGATATTTTCATTCTCATTTTGTAAATAAGGAAGTTGAGGCTCAGAGAGGTAACGTACTTTGTCCTAGGTCACTCAGCTTCTAAGTACAGGCTGGGACTAGAACCCAGGACTGTTTGATTCCAAGCTCACACTGTCAGCCAGCACAGTCCCTTAGAAGGGACCTACAATTCAGAAATAAAGGCCTAGAGAATGGAAACGTCTCTTCCCTAACACCCCCTACACCTCCCATATTCACTTGGTGTGAAGCCTGGATGTCTGTGCAGCGAGCGAGCGCCAGGTCACTCTCACACCCATTTGCAATGGAGGATGCATTTTCAAAATGGAACCCACTCTCCCGTGCTGTGAAAGATCTGAACTGGTTCAGTCTCTCCTGAGCCCCAAGTGACATGAGGCTGTGGAACAGCAGGGAGATCTAGTTATTCCTAGGGAGTGTGGTCACTTGACTTGCAGAAACCCAACTGCACCTTTGGGGGTTGCTGAGCAGGGACCATGGACGCAGAGCCCAGCGGGTTCTTGCAGGGGAAAGCTGGTGTCACAAACCAACAGAGAAAGAGCCTGTCCCCTCCCCCCAGCTCTCAGGAGGCAGTCAGCTTCTCTGCTCCTGGGGGTGACATCATTGTGGACAGAACTTTTCCAGAAGAGGCAAGTCCAGAGGTTCCCACCCTTGTCTCCCCAAGGGATCCCTTTTATTATATATATATTTTCCTTTAAATGGGTCCCATGTTTTCACAGATCCCATTGGCCAAAATGCACTGACTAATAACTGATATTTCTATTTGATAAATACACCAAAGACCTATGTTTGGAGAGCCTGAGTGCAGAGGTCCAATCCCTGAGTGCTGCTATCAATTCTGCCACTTCCTGGCAGTGTGACGTGGGGCAGAGCAGTTCACCTCTCTGAGCTGCAGCCTCCTCAGGGAAATGCAGGGTAAGAACACTTTACCTGCTGTGAGGATGAGGGGTATATGCTGACAGCCCCTGGCACGAGGTGCTTGGCTGCACTGCTGTCCGAGGAGGTGAGGGGGACAGGGCTATCACTTTCTATCACTTTTGCTGACCCAGGAATCCCTTTCTCCAGGTGGCTTCCAGCTCAGCCTCCCTGGTGTGAACCCGAGGCTGGCCTGAAGCCCACTCCCAGGACCTATAGAAACCAACTTGAAAGTTCTGCCCAGGGAAGTGAGGGTAGAATGTGATCTCCCCAGGCCTGGCAGAGAAGTGTCCTTGGTGTGGCAGGCTGTTTGGGAAACTGATTTCACACCAGAAAATTCACTAAGAATCTCAGGGCCCTGGGATCTATGCTTTCTAAAAATACATGTGTGTACATGTGTCTGCATTCACGTCTGTGGTTGTGACAACTGTGTGCATTGTTGTCGCTTGTGTGTCTGGAAGGGAACGTAAGTGGGCCGACAGATCATTTCTTGTGCTGCTTCCAGAGAGGTCTTTCTTAAAGGCAAAATGGATCATGTCACTCCCTTGCTGAAAACCCTTCTATAGCTCCCCAGTGCCCTCAGGGGAATGTCTCAGCCTCCACCATTACCTCCACAGCCCCAGGGCCCTGCCTACCTCTCCTGGCATAGTGTAAGTGCTTAATAAATGTATGCTGAACGTGCGCTTCGGACAGGGCTGCCCTGGTGGCACCTGATGCCATAGAGGGTGCTGACCACCACCTGAGCTTCAAGGGGTTGTCCCCAAGGTCCTGCTTCTCCTAGAGGCCCCCGATAGCCACTCTTTCTTCCCACAGGGTCCTGAGATGAAGGCCGTGTCTTTGTGAGGTATGGGGAGATGGGGGATGGGCCTCCTAGGGCAGGTGGCACCAAGAACTCCTGCATTATGTATGGTTTTCTATAGTTAGTTTCAGTGTTTGCTGGACAGTGTGTAAGCTCTCTAATGGCTTGGGAGGCTGGCAAGGGGTCGGCTGGTTTGGCCATGGGTGAGGTAGACATTTCTGTATATAGAGGCCTCTGGGTTTTCAGGTGTGGTTCACATTCACCAAACACGTGCACGTGCCATGTAATGTCACCAACATCAGTGTAACAGGTGGGTGACAGTATTTCCATTTTGCAGATGAGAAAACAAGCTCAGTGATATAACCCACTCAAGGTAGAGGAGAGATGGTGGAAGAGCTGTGCAGGGAGGGACTCTGTCACCCCTAGTCCCCCTCAGAGATCTGACTCCACTGGTACTCTGGCTGGCCTGCTTTCTGGACACACTGGGCTTTTCATACTTCCAGGCTATTCCCTCTCCCTGGGATGCCATTCCTTTTCTCTTTACCTGGAAAACTCCTATTTAGCTGTCAACACAGGTCAAGAAACCTGTTCACTGAAATTCTCTTTGATTGCTGGAGATAGAATTGGTGGTATCAGACCCTCTGCTTGGGGGCTTTTGTTGGGGTCATCAAGACAGAGCTGGATATGTGGTGTCCTTGTGAGTAAGTGCCCACCCTCATCTCCCCACATGTGTCTAGAGTTGCTGTGAGGATGCAGTAATGGGGGCAGTGGATGGAGAGGTTTGGCGCAGACAGGCCGAGACTGTGGTTTGCTGGGAGAGGAGTCCTAGAGCAGGGATTGTAGGGTTGGGGGTTGGGAGGAGGGCCTGCTCCCAGGTCACGTCTCCCCTGCCCGCCTCTCTCTGAGCCTAGCATCCCAGGCGAGGCGCGTTCCTGCCTGTGACTCATCTCCGACTGGATTGTCTGGCTAGGAACTGCAGGGCGGGCGGGGGGCGGGTGACGGCGGCGACACTCCAGGTTCTGAAGTGACTGAATGGTATGCGGCAAGTCCGCGGCACTCCCACACCACTTCACGTCCCCACTCCCAGAATGCATCAGCTCTGGGGCCCGACTGCGACACTCAGACCTGGGCAGATGAGTGTGGGTAAGGGGAGCGCCCCCGCGCTCCTGGCGGTGAGAGCCTGGCTCCGCGGCAAGGGGCGGCTTGGCGCATGCGCGGCAGCGACCTGGGAGGGTTCGGCGTCACCGCGGTGGACAGCAGACTGCGCAGAGCGGCAGGAGTGGGCGAGCCTGTGGAAGACGCCACGTGATGTCCTGATGTTTATGGTGCGCAGCTCAACCACGGTCACGTGCAGTCACTGGATCGCAAAACAAATCCCCATTTTACAATACTGCGACGCAGAAATGATGGGGGTTGGGTGAGGTAGTGAGCTCCCTGCCCCAAGACTGCCCTTCGGAGGATTTTAAGCCGTGACATGGTCTGCTTTTATCCTTTTAGGAAGGCCTCCCTGGTCTCAGTGTGGAAGGTGGGCCAGGTGTGGGAGACAGGAGCATGGAAGGAGATGATGAGTCAAAATGAAGGCAGTAGTGACTGGAGAAAGGGTGAGAGGCTACATTCATTGGTTCAACACGTATTTATTGAAAATCCCTTGAGTACCAGATTTTGAGCGTTGGGGATAGATGAGTGAAGCAAACATTGACAACGCCTGTCCTCACGGAGCTTTCTTGTGATGGAGACACAAACGTAAATGGTGGAGCTTGTTAGGTAACAGGAGAGGAAGGCACGGAAGCAGTGTGTAGGTGGAGTTAAACATTCAGATACAGCAGCTGCAGAGGGCCTTGGTAGAGGGTGACCTCTAAGCAAAGACTGGAGGAAGGGAGCTAGCTGGGTGAACTGGGGAGCTAGCAGGTTATATGGGAAAAGGGGATTCTGGGTGAAGGGAGCAGAGAGTGGAAAGGCCTCTGGGCAGGATGTGCTGAGTGGTTTTGAAGAACAGAGTGGGCTGAGTAGGGAATGTTTAAGAAGCAGGAGAGATGGATCAGACGTAAAGGGCAAGGAAGAGGGAGGGGTGGAGGACGATTCCCATTGTCTGCTTGGGTGGCTGGGTGATGGTGGGGAGATGGGAACCCTAAGTGAGTTGGGGAGGTAGTGACTTCAGGTATAGACAGCCCAGATAACCACTGGTACCCTGTGGTCACCACAGTAAATGCTCAGGGACTAATTGCTGAATGAACAAATGATGACATCTTAGAGGGGTTCCATGAACCTCGGGGGGGAGTACATATGATTGCCCAGAGACAGAAGGAAGTCAGAAATTCCAGGGACTTTGGTCAGCCACACTAATCTTGAAAGGCTGGCATCTGTCTCACCAAGTAGAGGCCAGCTCCCGGGGCTGCAGGTGAGGGTTCCCGGGCAGCAGAAAGCCTTTCTCCTCTGCAGGAAGATTTTTATATGAGGCTTGGACCCAGCTGGTGACTTCCCTAATGGAGGAGAACATTCCTTGGCAAGTGCGGATAAATGCCATGAATGACTGTCCTATGATTGAATGAAGAAATGAATGAACACAGGCGTGGGGGTGGGGGAAAGAGCTAGAGAACAGTGGCAGAGAGGCGGGCAGTGGACGTTGAGGTTTGCGAAGAGGTAACTTGGTCCTGATATTAGAAAAGGGATCTAGCTGTGGCAGCCTCTGCAGCAAGGAGGCCTTCTGTCTCTATGCAACACCTGGCCACATGCGTTCTCCACTAGGTTGGTCAGGATGTGCCTGGAGGTTACTGGGTCTCCATGTTGCCTTAATTTACTTGGAGTAGCCCTTTATAGGATCAGCTGCCACCTACTTCCCCACTGCCAACAAGGCCCAAACGCTAAGGCTTGATTTTCTGTCTAACCATATAAACCAGTCCATTTACAAACTGGCAAATAGGTCCTGACCAAGTGTGTAGAGAAGCCTGATTTGGGCTCAGAAAAAAGCACTAAAGAGGTCACAGACAAGCATTATTTATAGCGAAAACGTGAGAGTCAAACCCATTGTCCAGTAAGAGAGGACAAGCTGAGCAAATTATGGCACACACTTATAATGGAATATTATATTGCCATGAAATAATGTTTTTAAAGAAATTTTACTAACATAGGTAACGGCTTTCAGTATAAAGAGGGGGGGAAAAACCCCAGGTTGTAAAAAATATCAGGTTATAGAGCTCTGCATATAACATGATCCTTATTTTGTAAAAGAAAAAAACAGAAAATATTCAGACAGAAAAAGATTAGAAAAGAAGACTAAAATATTCAGCCACTGTGCTCCCTAGGCAGTGGTGGGATGAAGGATTTTTATGTTCTTCACATTTTTTATGACGTTCCAAAATTTCTATAATGAACATGTATTACTCGTAAAATCTGAAAAAATCATTCAATGAAGGTTTGGAAAGCCTTTTGTGCTAACAAAATAAAAAGTAATTAAGTGAATAAGTCAGTGATAGTTAACTCATTGGAAGTTTTAAAAGGTAATTTAATTGCCTTTGAACATGTCATTTGTTATTGCAAAGACTTTTTAAAGATTAACTTGTCTTTGAACTTGTTGATAAGGAGCTTTATTAAAATGTTAGGAAAATAATCTCCATTGTTCTTAACCTTCATCACGTTTTCCCTGGCGCTTGAGCAAGTCCTATTTGCCAATTTTTTGAGGGAAGTGATTCTGCCATGAACCTTAATGTTTTATTTTCAGGCAAGCTATACACTTGGCAATAATAATAATAATAATAATAATAATAATAATAATAGAACCTATGTTTGTAAAACACTTATAATTTGCAAAATATATTAAGTGCTGGTACTATTCTAGACTCTGGGGATATCATAGTGAGCAAAATGGGTAAAAATCCCCGCCTTTGGGGAGTTTACATTACATTGATGAGGGCAGACAATAAGCAAATGAATACGTTATACAGATGTTGGGAGTGATAAGTGCTATGGAGAAAGATGGAGAGAAGAGGGGTGGGGAATAAATGGGGGCTGCTCTTTTAAATCAGTTTGATTACTGTTTGAATAGAAAAAATAAGCGAAAATGTCTCCTAAAATTCTGTAGCTGATGGACAATTAACATACAGACATAAAGCGATTGAAGATCTCCGAGGATTCATTCCTATAACTAGTGACATATCATCTAAGATACAATGTGCTAATTATCAATTTTACAAACTCATAAAATTATGAGTCACTAGTGATATTTTAAGTTTTCTATACTAAGTTAGTATAAGTTAACCTTTCTAAGCCTCAGTGTTCTCATCTCTAAAATGGGGACAATTATAGTATCTAAATCAGAGATTCTGTTGTCAGAATTCAAAGAGAAAATGCTTATGCTTGGGAAACAGCGTGTGTTCGATGCATGTTCATAATATAGACACAGCAAGGCCATTGGGAAGCGTCCATTTGACACTGCCATGTTTCCTATACAGCTATTCCATGCTTTTTGAAAGTTTGTATCATGCCACTTCGCTTTTAGGCAAGACCTACATTAGTACCTGTTTTTACTAACCGCAAGAAATCCGAAGAGGATTTTCACTTTTACGAAAAAAGGCGAAAAGCAAAAAATAGTGTCCAGCATTTGCTTTGCAGCCGTAATAGAGGCAGGGCGCACCGGAACAGGGAGAGTGGCCCTGCCAAGCTCCTTCCCTGGGAACGACACTCAGCATCAAGCAGCTAGAGCTTTGAACTGTGTCTTTGAGCATCTGTGCTTTATCTCCATTTATTTCGTGCATCTGTCAGCAAGAGGTGTCCTAAGGTAACAGCTTCTTTGCTTTACGCCATTTTGGCTTAGGAAAGGTTTCATAGCAATGCTATGCTTTCAGAGAGTGGGGGAAACCTGCATATTATTTCTTCAATCCTCAAAAATGTACTGGGAGGTTTGTAATATGGTTTCCATTTTCAAGAGGAAATTGAGGCTCTGAAAGGTAAATCTCCTGCGCAGAATTACATGCTATAGTCAAGCTGCAGGAAGCCACACTCTCAGTCACAACTCTATTTTGTGCCAAGGGGCTCTGGAAGCCCTCCTGGCCTCAGTTTCTCCCTTTGGGAGGCTGAGAGCAGATTTACACTTTTCCGTCCCTTACCCTGTGTTCAGAGCACATCCCAGGCAAAGGATGAAGGTAACTGGCCTCTGAGTGTGTCTGATTATTCCCAAAGACTGAAGGTAATGCCCACATTCCTACCACTTTCTCTATCGGCCTTGTTCCAAGTACCATGTGAACCAGGAGAGGCAAACCTTCTAATTAGTTTCTGATGAACTCCTTTGGGATGAAGAGGAGTGATGATTATGGAAGATACAGGGATGTGACATCCTAGTGGGTGAATGGGGGTATGGTGGAGGTAGGGTGAGGCAGGCTACAGAGGAAGAAGAGGAGAGGGGGGGTTTCTGTGTAGAAGGAGCCCTGAGGAAGCAGCCTATTCTGCTTATCTCACCAAGTCCCCACCAGGTGCTAAGTGAACAGACCCACTCCTCCTCTGCCACCCTGTTCTGAGCGGCTGGGCCACAGGTGACCAGGACTAACATGGTGTCCACAGCCGGACCTTTGTTTTCGTCTCAACAATACTCCTGCTATCTACACCCTCCATGCCACCCCCAAAATCCCAGCATCCTCCCCTAGGACCTGGGCCTTGTAATTTCTTTCTGGGTCTGAGGCCCCAGCTGCACAGATCAGATAGAACTCTTCCTGGGGGCCTTCCAGCTCTGCAGTTCTAACCTCTCAGTTGCCACTGGCTCCATTTTGTCCCTGAGGTTCATCATGTCTGGGGACTTGTGGCTCAGTGGTCTGTATAAACACACCACGGTAAGCATAGAATCAGGGTTGGGACCCCTCAGACCTCCTGTTGTCTCCTTGCCATGGTGGCTGGTCTCTGCTGCTTTCCACTCCCTGTCTGAACTGTCACCTCTGGAATGTCCAAGCCACTTGAGAGTCTGATTCCTCCCCAGGGAAAATAATCCTCCCCATACCCCCCGCCTCACACACACACCTCAGAGTGGAGGGGGGTGTGCAGAATTCCCTTGTACAGAGTGTGAGCAACACGTGAGGAGCCCTCTGCCAGGGCAGCAGAAATCAGCCAAGGGCAAAAGGAAAAGAATGTCAAATACAGGCTTTTCCAACCTGGATGGAGATGGCAGGGTAGGGAGGGGCAGCAGAATGCAGGGGAGTAGGTAATGTCTGAGAAAGGGCAGGCCCTAAAGAAGGAGCTTTGCATTGCAATTAGATGTCCACAAGGCCATGGGGGATTCACAGGCCTCCTTGGAGGGGGTCATGTGCCCACCACATGAGGGGAAGTCACTCAGCCTCAGCATCTACAGGTGCTGGACACGTCATAAAATGACACCTGTAGCCAACCTGAACCGAGTACTGGCTGTGTCAAGTACTGTGGTAGGCCCCCCAGAAGCATAATCTCATTTAATCCCCCAACCCACCTTCCCCATGTTTCAGATGGGGAAACTGAGGCTCAGAGAGGTTAAGTGTCTTGCCTAAGCTCACACAGCTAGGAAGTCAGCCAAGCCCACCCTCTGGTTTCAAAGCCCTTAAACCTTCTGCTAACAACAGAATGAAGCTTACTTGTCAATGGAGGAAATTGAGGCACAGGGAGGTGAAGCCACTTGTTCCACTAGAGCAGTCAGGATGTTTGAGAGTCAGAGGGGCATCCTTAAGGCAGGTGCCCGTGGGAGCGTGTGTGCGTCAAGACCAAGGACCAAGCTCCTGGAGCCCCTCCTTCTCACACCTGTCATTTGTGTCCTCCCCTTCCCAGCTTGGGCCTGGCCAACCACCCCCAACCCCCATGCCCCGCACCCGCGTGGGACCAGGAGGGCAGCCATGGGTCCTCCGCGAGCCAGGAACCCGATGGGGAGAGAGGAAGGGCTGCGCAATTCGTCCGGGGGTGGGGTGGGGTGGGCACTACCCAGTTCCCGAGGGCGCTGGGGGAGAGGCGGCTGTGTCGTTTGACGCTGCGTAGCCAGCCAGAGCAGCCGCCTCGGACTCAGCCTCCGGCCCCACTTACCGCGCAAGGAAAAGTCTGCCCCAAAGCGGGAGAAGGTGCGGCTGAGACGCCCCCTCTCCCACCCTTGGTGCTGAGATAGGCCAACGCAGCAGGCACTGAAGCGGGGGCATGACCAGGGTGACCCGCACGTCGGAGGGTCAAACTTCCAGACTAGAGGATGGGGGGTGGTTTTAGCCTCAAACTCCACAAAGCCCGGACCTCCTCTGCTCTCCCACCCGACCGAAAGTGCATCCTAGTTTCCCCTTCTTGGGTGTGTTGTTAAGAGATCCTCAAAACCGACGGCGCGGGGCCCGGGAGACTGTCTCAGGTCCCCCACATGGGATGGATGCTTGTCTGGGACTCGAGGCAGGCAAGAATCCGGGAGACCGCCCCTTACCCGCGGCCAGAGGACATGCTCAGGGGCAGCCTCGGTCCGCGCGGGGGCCAGGGGTCGCGGTCCGCAGGAGTGCGGGGATCGCGTTCCGAGCGCGTTGCGGCTCCGCTTCGGATCGCGCATCCGCCCTCCCAGCGCTCAGCGCCCCGGGGTGTGTGTATGTGTGTGTGTGTGTATGTGTGTGTGTGTGTGTGTGTGTGTGTATGTGAGTGTGTGTGAGTGTGTGTGCGCGCGCAGGGGTGTGTAATGTTTTGA